ATTATTCTAATATTTTGATTTTCTTAATCMTTTGACAATTCAAGATTTAGCAAGGATTAAAAGCATTAAAAACAATGCAGCAAAGACTTTTCTCCTAGTGTGTCCATCACTCCTAGGAGCCATCAGTCCTAGAGGAAAATCTATTTTCAGCAGCTATCTAGTAATTCMCTGCATATTCAGATGGTCTGGACAGTCAAAAAAGCATCAACACTTTTGAGTTACTTTAAACAAACCTTCAAAGGCGTGATTATCATCAAACACCTTCACTAAAATAATAAAGAAATCTATGCTGCTACCTGTGCTTGAGACAGCAAAGTATGCAGCCCTTATCCTGTGTAGYAAATGGTTTTGTAGCATTTCTTATTACCAGTAATTTTACAGCATCTCCCTTATTGCATACATAATGGAGAGAGGTGTATTGTCATTAAACTGTTCTTAGTAAACACTGCTGCAAAGATTCTTGGAAGATAATAAAATGTGTAGCCCTATGCTCAACATCAGCATGGTTACCAGCAGATGTGGCGCTGCTCACAGAGAGTTTACTGCAAAATACAGARAAAGCCTGGTTTGGTCTGGGTGTTAATTGTCCATCTGTGAGGAAACCCAAACAGGAACAAACACTGGTTCCAACCCTTGGGAGAACTGGAATGGGATATTTGTGTTTTGCTACAATACTGGATGGAGCAAAGAAAATGGTTGGAACAAGCCTCCCCCCCCTCCTTTAGCTGGGAAGACTTAGGCTGTGTCCAGTTCTGAGTAATTAACTTCTACAGCTTAAAATCTAAACCTCAATATCTTTTATTTCAGTCTTAAATGATCAGAAGTCTTATTCCAACCTGCATGTTACAATATTAGTTACCTCTTACTAACAAAAAAAAAAAGAAAATCTAACTGCAGTCAAATCATTCAAGTAGGAGAAAATACTGAAAAGTGAGTGATCAACAACATTTGACTTTCATTGGCCCAAAATGATCAGTTTGCGTTGTCTTTTGCTTTGTGTCCTTCCTGGGCTCATGTCCTCTGCAGCCCCTCTCACAGCCCCTCTCACAGTTTCAGTAGAAGGAAAGCATGCAGAGCTCTCAGGATCTACAGAACAGACCTCATGCATCTTTTTGACCTCAGGGCATTTTCTCTGCAGCTACAGAAAACAGCTAATTTGAATACTACATACATTCCCCTCCTCCTGCCTAGCTAATGCCAGGGCTTTGGGGTCCTTTTCAGAAAAGGCCAGGGTTGTGAGGAGGTACTCTGCAATCACAGGAAAGTACTACATCATCCTCCACGAGCCCGATACCAGCTCCTACCTCTAACATCTTAAGTGCAATTAACAGGGGGTTGCAGTGGCCTGATGTTACAACTGCTGTCAAATACTAAAAAATTACGATTATTACAATTACTTGWCAAATACAAAAAATTTCTTTGCTTTACTATATTTTCAACACAGTCACACTGAGTTAGACTGCTTAGTAGAGAACCATCATGGAAAGATGGCAGAGAATAAGCAAGGATTTAAGAAAATAAGTAACMACGTGTTACCTGGTAATCACAGTCTCTGGTGGAAGGTGTGAGCTGGGGACCATATCAAGCTAATTGCCAGCATTTGCTGCTGCCTTTGCTTAGACTCACAGCCTGGCACTGAGCACTTCTGGCCCACAAAAACACAATCTGTTCTTATCCATGTCTCACCTCCTCTCTTCTATGAAACRCAGTTAGCCAAGAAGAAATTACATTACTATCAGAAACTATGACACWTTGAGACTGCTAACACCTTTGTCTGCTTACATCGCTGCCAATACTAAAATAATGAATAGATACTGGAATTGCAAGAATGAATTTGAGGCCTTGGGAGCAGTTCTCTGCTCTGTGCCCTGTCAAACTCCATATACAGCAAGGTTTCTCTATCTGCACAAAAGTACTGYCTGAACAGGCCTTTTTAGTCCCTTTTAAATGTATAATAGCCTTCATATGGCAMAGTATAAAATGTATTAGAAATAAAGCATTATAAATGTAGAAATTCTRTTCTGGAAGGTGGGAGATAGACTGTATCATCAACAACAAATTGCTCACCTGCTTCTCTTCCTAGAGTTGTATGTAATTTCTATTTTTAGTACTTTAACTAAATGYTAAGTATGTGCTTTGCTTTGTGATAAAGAGTGATTTTTTCTGAGAGTCATCAAGCACAGGAGATTCTTCATTCTAGGCTCCCCTGCCCCTTCACCCTTTATCATACATCTTGGACTGCAGGAGTTACACTCCTCTTCTCKCAGGACAGAAGTGTAATAAGAAAAGTGAGAGGTGGCAGACTGGAAAAGTGGATCAGTAGCTGTCCCATTTCAGAAGATCTAGACTGCTCCTTCCTCATTCCTCCCCTTACACACCAGCCTGGCTGCCCCCAGTCCTGCGGCAGCACCGCTGTGGCACGGCAGCATCTCTCACTCTGATTCCCTTCCCAGCCTCCAGCTCAACCTTTCTCCTTYCAACAGCATTAGGATCACAGACCAGATGCAATCAGGACTTGCATGAACCCTTGTGTGTCAGAATAGGAGAATGAAAAGCATCACTGGTAGCCTGAAATGCTTTTGTTCATGGAGGCAAATGTAGTTGTCTGACATGAAGTATTTATATCAGAGCAGTATGATGCTGCTGTATAACAACACATAAATGTTCTGGAGTCAAATGTACTTCAATTCGTACYACTTTTTCACATATCCAGTCTCAAATATTTATTCCCTGTGAGCTCCTTCTCACATTGCCAAGGAACATCAGGCAGTATAGCTGTGTTTTGCTATAGTAAAAAAAATAATCCCAGGATAGCTGGGACTAAACCAGCAATGGTCTGTAGTTTCTAGTTACAGACSAAATCTCAGGATTAGAAACTCTGCATACATCTTTTATGCTGTCCTGAACTGTTTCATCACGGTTTTGCTAACCTTAAATACWCTCTGATTCTAAAACATACTTATTATGACCTTAAGTTTCCATACTAGACATTAATTTATAAATGTATCTTCCTTATTCAGACTGTTGCCCACTAGAGCACAGCAAAGTTATGGATCTCAGACCTGACCTGATATTAATTTCTCCCAAATTAAAATGCTTACATGCCTCTAACCTACTGATTTCTTTTCACTGGCAATAARTGTAGTAAAAGCTAACAGCATAAATGTCTAAAGGTACATGACATGAACCCTGTTCTTTATGCCACTGTTAGCTTTGGATTCAGTTCTGAAAGCCATGTCTAGGACATAGACATGAGACAGTCCAGAAAGTCCTGAATCACAGAGCTGGTCACTCCTAATACTAAATAAAGACCAAGGGCAAACATGCATGCAATTTCGTGGAGGAACAATGCATTTATGGTAGCGCTTCCTTTTATCATGTTTATATAAAAGCTAGTCACACAACAACTGGCCAAAACAAGTCCCAAGTCTGTGGCTAAAAAAACCTCTATCTGATGTTTACCAGAATTTTCAAATCCCACGTAGTCTGTAAGAGCGATCTGCAGAGCAGACACTGGCACAGCCAATGCCCATGAATCTTACATTTTCACCCATGTTCCCCCAGCACGGATGGCAGTGTTGATGCTTCAGCTGGTTTAAAACTCACTGACAATTAACTACTATTGCTGCTTGGGGCAGCATGCAATGAATTACTGGCTGTGAGCAGCTTTATGAACAATCAGAGATATTGTGCTGTAAAACCTAAAAAATCCCATCCAGCCTATAGGAAGAATTTTGGTCATTAACAAAAACTTCCTGCAAGGAAGAAAATCCCCTGTAGAGTGAATGAATTACAAATCTAAATTCTGCCTAATATTTTATGCATTATACCTAAATTTCATGTTCTTCCTCATAAGGGGCATTGCTACTACGATCAATATTAAAAAATGCATAAGGGGGACACTAAGTGGGAAAGAAGCTGCTCAAATATAGCAGAAGCTCAAAAATACTTGAATTTCCAATTCTAAGACACATGCTATAACCATGGTGCCAAGTGAGGAGATATAAAGAAGGGACTAAAAGCCCTAAGATTCTCCTAATGGTTTGCAGTAGATTCTTGGGTGCACTGGGAATGCAGTTTAGCCCAAATGTAGTGCTAATGGCCAAATATTAACAGAAAGACTGGTTTAAATAAAAAAAAAAACACCCTTTAGGAAGATGGAGGATTTTTTTGTAACTGATCCTAGACCCATCTTTTTTTATGTAAAACTCCTCACCTACCTCATTCTGATGGTGGCACCAGCACAATAAGGATAATGACAATTAATGGAACCATCTATGTGCTTGAGAAATGCACAGTTTAAATATATTCCATTAGTAAATTCCTTTCCATGTCATCTATAACACAYAGAAAATTTGTCTGCCCACCAGCATCACTTGGGCCTCCTATCTCCAATCACATGTCTTTAAATCACACTTCAGGATGATTACAAATAAGCTGTAGAAAATYTCCCATCAATCTCCTACAGATCTGCCTTATCAGAGGTGGACTTGGAGACATGTTGCTTTTAACACTATTCCATTAGCTGGTTTTACTCATAAACAGTCATCAAGGAAATTCTACTACACAAAAAAAAAGAGGAAGCCTGGGTAGAACTGGGATTCATCATCTGTCCCACACAAGAAAATTCTCCATAACTAAAGCTTGTACTTGGTACAGTTTCCAGTAATGTGATGGAGACTTCTCACATGCAGCTGAATTTTCTCACATTTTCTACCCCAGGAGACAAACCATACTCAGCCAAAACACTCTGGACTCTGAAGACAAGATTTTCAGAAGGCTTAGGGAGTGAAGTGCCACGTAAGTTATGAAATGAGGGTGGAAAAGACTGGACGGAAACAATCAGAGAAGAAAGTTTACCTAGTGTAAACTGGAACTGGAACTTAGCATTGGGAAGACCAACAAGGCCAGGGCAGAATCTCATGGGAGCACTGGATTTTGTTCCCGTTCTCTTGCACACCTTGAGCTGTGTGCAGCTGAAGTCACAACACACATCTTACCTCGCTCACAGGTTCTACCCCAGTAGCCGGTGCCAGTGCAGTCACAAATGAAGCGGTTCCAGCCGTCCTTGCAGACTGCGTTGTTCTTACACGGGTAGCTGTCACATTGCTTGGTGCTGAGGCGGGAGCAGGAGGATTTGACCCCGGCAGCGTTCTGCGCCTCTGCCAGCTGCCGGATGTTCTTGCTCCGTCCATCRATGAACAAGTCTCGGATGCAGCCGACGTAGCCGTAGTTCAGCATGGCCGTCCAGAGCTCTGTGGGAAGGATCAGTCCTGCCCGGTTCTCTGGCAGCCCACCGAGGTACATGTCACCTTCCAGATCGAGGATCTCGCTCTCCCCGCTCGCAGTGAATGGGGTGCGTCTGCTGTTCACTGATATGGTACCTAAACGAGCAAGATAAGGAGAYATCAATAGTTTCAAGTCTCAGTTTAGTTCACTTTTTTCCAATAACTGAGTCAGGTTTAAGGTTCAGCAGAGGAGAGTGAAGATTCTTCCCTACCCAAATGGAATTCTACTAATGTCTCTCACACTGTTCCCTCTCCTTTCGAACCACAGGTCCTAAATACTTCCATGAAGTGACTGATCATCTTATGTCTCTATCCCAAATTGCATTATAAAGTCAGAAGCATAACGATACAATGGCTAAATAATAACATGTAACATCTGAACATTATTCAATGTTATTCATCCAGCAAAGCAAACTCTTATTGAGAACACACAGGACTTTCATGGCATCAGGACTAGAGAGAAAAAAAAGAGAAGCAAAAGCATATTAATTCACACTATATAGTTCCTTCAGAGAACACTTCATCAGTACCTCCAAACCTGGACCTGGGTGATGGGCCAACAAAGACATGTCTGCAGGTGACACAGAGAGAATGGTTGATGCATTACAGGAAGAAMTGGGTTACCATTTAGGGAAACCTTTACAAGGTGGAGCAAAGGACTGATAGCAATGTTTGATGTAAATCAAAATCAATAAATACGAAGTCCTACACCTGGGTTAGAAAAGCCTCACRCATAAGTACAGGCTAGCAACCAACTGGTTAAGGAACAACTCTGCAGAAAAGGACCTGGAGATATGGCAGACAACTTGAACATGAATGATCACTGTGAAATTGGAGTGGCAAGAGACTGATCACAAGCTACAGTAAGGTGTCCTGGTTCCAGCCAGGACAGAGTTAATTCTTTGCAGTAGCTGGGAGAGGCATGGCCAGGACCCAGAGGTTGTTATACACCACCTCACATCATTGCCAAGATCAGGGAAAAGGGACTCTCCTGGTGGCAGAAGGGATTCCTTCCAGACAAGTGTGGACAGAGCTGTGGGGCAGTGTGGGTTCCGAGCCAGGAGGAGCATTTCACTACCACTGGCCCCAAGCTGGAGGGAGCAGTGAGCTGGAGTCAGTCCCAAGCCAGGGGGAGAAGGTGGGCTCAGCACCATGGTGAGCATTTTTGCAYGTGCACCACTSTCTCTTCTGTTAWTAATATTGTTGCTGTTACTGCTTCCTTATCTCATTGCTGTTTCCAATACATTCTTCTTATCTCAACTCATGATCTTTACCTTTTGTTCCTCCAATTCTCCTCTCCAGCCTGCCAGAGGAAAGAGAGGGAAGGAGAGGGGAAGCAAGAGAGCCATGTAGCTTGAAGAGTCTCAGTGGCACCACTAAATTGAAGAGTACCATTCCTAAGCCACGACATAAGGGAACCTCCAAATCTCTAGAAAAGGACACTTTTCACCACAAGAGTGACCAAACACAGAAACAAATACCTCAGAGGGTTTTACCAGACTGTAGTCATTCAAAGCTCAACTGCACATGATCCTGAAAAAAGTCTAGATTGAACCAGAACTCTCCAAAGTAAAATACTGTATGGCTTTACAAAGAAAGTTTTCTAATTTCCCTTTTATACAGGAAATTTGAGGGAGAGAGAGAGACAAACTTATCTCTGGAGAACAGCTATTATTAAAACTGTGGTAGCTTCCATATTTAATGTGGGCATACTGCACTAAGGCCATTCACATATATTTCAAGAAATTGTCCCAGCACATAAAATAATCAGAACATACRATACAGAAATATAATCAGAAAAGGAACAGAAAAGCAAAGTGACTTAGGGTCAGGAAGTGCATCCAAAGTAAAACAGGGAACATAATGCACATCTCTCACAGTCCAGAGCAGCGTACTCTTCTGAAGAGCATTCAGCAGTTTCTGTGATAGGGACATCTGCCCACTAGACACTCATCTAAAAATCAGCAATTCACTCTCCCTAGCTATAAATCATCACATCCAATTGCCTTGTCATTAAGACAGTCTGTCTTCAGATACACTATCCAAGCTTTCAGATTAATTCCACATCATTGCATTTTTATCAGACACCCCTACAATAAGTAAGGAGAGTTAATAGAGTTAGCTCTATCTRTTGTCTCTGTGAGGAAGCACAGTCATGTACATGCACCTCTTCTTCAGCTGTAATAGGTGTCTTCTTAGAGAACTGCACATGACACAGACACAAGGCATCCCATGTGTGTGATGTTCAGTAATAATTGAGGAAYAGTGTCAGAGGCAGCAGAGTCTCAGAAGCAACAGAGGCATTACAAATTAAAGGCTCAAAGAGAACCACAGTTATTTGATGAATCATTTTGTAAAAACAAGCTTCATCACCACAGGGGTTTTCTCTTTTACAAAATAAGGAAAGTGAAGATGTGGCAATMCGCATACTGTCACACAGGCAGCATGTCACAGAGCTACGGGAATATATGCAGTGCCCTTCCAGCACCTCCACTGCTATTTCTCAAAAGCAGCCTGTTGAATACATAAAACTCTAATGTTTAGAACCAAAACACTGGAGGGCTGAACTCTAGAGAGCTGCTACTATGGAGAGAACAAAGACATGTAAATGCCACAAAGGTAAAGAAACCTCCTAAAAGACAAGAAAGATTGGATACCATGAAGCATAAAACCGGGAGAAAGATGGTGAGATGATGAACAGAAATAGGCTAGATAGCAACCTAAACATTCTGAGTGTTTTGTATCCTGCAATAATTCCTGTAACGAGATGGTACTAGTGTGGATGAACAGCACTTTTTGACCAAGCTGCTGAGATGGAGAAAYTCTGTATTGATCCTAGAAAGGAGCACTCCCTTAAGCTGTCATCCTTCTTTTTTCCTCCAAATCCCATGTTTGCCACTCTGCTTGGATTAAATCCAAGTCCAGTTAGAGAAATCGGAAGCATCCAAGCACCTCCTCTGCAGTGCCTTAGGTACTTTGAGCGGGACTGAAGAACAGACAAAAACACCCCAGTCACTGTGGGCAGAACTGGCACACCAAGCAGTGCACTGACRCCACTGTAAACCAAACCCTCCGGTAAGTTTTAGTGTCTGGTCAGGTGGCAAGTCATGTATGTTTTGTAGCTGATGACSAGCTGAAAACATGGTACTGAAATGCAACAGGCTCACTGTGCCCCAGCTGGAAACTGTGACAGGTTTTGTGAACACCTGGTGGGAGCTTTCCCCAAGGACAGAGAGGTCACAGGACGTGAGGTGTCCATGTCAACACCTTCAGCTTCTGTCAGAGTARAAAGACGGAAATAGCTTTTTGTTGGCTCTGGCAGCCAACACAGACCAAAGCACACACAAGGCCTAAGGGGACTAGAAATGCCAGAGGTTATCTGAGCATGACTGCCGAGCTTCCCTGCCTTAGTGCACTGCAGTASTGAATATTAGGATTTTTAGGCTATTTTATTGAGATCAGCAAAACCTGAAGTTTTGGACTGTTAGAGAAATGTGAAAAAGAAGGGGAGAGATGACACCTAATAAAGGCCTGGGTGCTTTAGTAAGGAGAATCAGAACCTCTAGGTCACTAGCTCATTAAACTGAAATGGCTTGCTTAAGCCTCCATTAAGTAAACTCATTATTTCAGTTTCTAAATGATAGGCATCCATATTGAGGGGGAAAAAAATCTTCAAGGTAACCATTCTCCAGWCCTCATGTGGGAGAAAAGTCAAGGACTAAAAAAGAAGAGATCTTAAACTCCTTTCTCATATTTATTTAAAATGTCACTGGATAAGAGTGACTGATGCTCACTAAAGGTATGATGTGAAGAAATCAATGCCAGTATCCCAGTTTTCTCAGGACACAAGACATCAGTCATTAGGATCATTAACCAAGTATTCATTGTGAGCAGAGAACACAAACAATAAAAATTTAAAAAAAAACAAAAACAAAAACAAAACAATAAAAAAAAAAACAAAAAAAAAAAAAAAAAAACCACCAAAAAAAAAACACAAAAAAAAAAAAAAAAAAAAAAAAAAAAAAAAAACAAAAAAACAAAAAAAAAACCCCACACAAAAAAAACAAACACAAAAAAAACCCCCAAAAGCAAACGAATGTGTTTTTCCTTGTACAGAAAACTGATTCTAATTCAAAATCTGTTATCACTAATCTGTGTTCAGGACATCACACACCTCCCTGCCAAGTGACAAACAAGTCAGTCCTACAGTGCCATCCATCAAGTAGCAATGCTGTCTGTCACACCCTCCCGTGAATGTGTCCAAATGAATGYGTGTCCATCTTCGTAGGGTTTTGCAAACATTCTTTGAGTCTGGAGTTGTTTCTGTCTCTTCTCCCTCTGCAGCTGCTTCTTCAGGGATGAGACAGTCCCCAAGTGAGCAAGCAAAACTGTAGTCAGTACTGAACACAACTAATTGAGTTTATCCCTGGAAGTTAATTAAATTTTAGCAATTCTAAAGAAATCAAAGCTCCATTTCTTTATTTGTGGCTTCCTTTGTAAAAGACTCCTATCGATGTCTTGAGGAGATAGCACTATATAACCACACATATTAAGTCCAAGCAGAGCACCATGCCTAATACAAAGAAACTACTCACATTATCAAAGGGAAAAATAGCTTCAGGCAAAGACCTGTTCAAACAGCTAGACCTGGCATGGTATCTCTAAGTCAGCTCTTCTRAAAATTCAAGAGAAGCAAATTCTAGCACTGAATATACTATTCTCTATACTATAGAGAATACTGATGGTATATATCTCTATACTGATGGTATTCAACAACTGGAAGCATAAAATTAAGGACCTAAACCTCTCATCTGGAGATCACCACACAAATCTCAAATSCACTTGCAAATGCAACCAAAATTTCTTTTGAAAGGAAAGCTTTGAGATCCCAATGGTTGAGAAAAATATGAAGTACAACTGTTATTCTCTAGATGATATTACAGTATTTGAGCATTTTTGTTTTCCTCCACAATTTCAGAGTACATTGTGAGTATGTTGGTTTGGTATTCAGCACTGGAAACAATAAAAATGCTCTTGGCAATTGCATGGTAGGCGTATTTTTAGAAATAAACTAAAACCCATATTTGAAAATGAAATGTTGCAAAGAAAGAAAGGAAGCATCGACTGAATGCTGACTCAGATTTTAACACTAGAATCTGTCATCCAGGAGAGTAAAGAAACCTAACTGAAAACTACAGGATATTAAAGGAACAGAATGGGATGAAAATATTGATTTTTCACCACAATTTTGTTGCCCATTACTCTTATATTTCTCATGACAAGATGCCAAATGCAAAAACCCAAGTGGATCAGAAAGAATTTCTCGAACTGAAAACAATGGTTCCAAAGGACCTTAAACCTTACCCAACCCACAAAGAAGTCATCACTGTAACTCTGTATGCAATCCCTCAGAGTATCTGAGGATTGTGAAAAAAATATTAATAGACTACCTGTGTATGTGCTATCCAAAATTCACACTAAACATTTAATGAAAATCTAGCCATTCACATCTTTGCTTTGCCGGATAAACATCACTGGAGTAATGCTACACCTTTTTAAGGAGGTGATTCATATCTAACAGGTTTTGAATGTTCTGAGAATTAATACACAGCCCTAGGTCTGAATCTGAAATATGAATCTACTCAAGAAAAAATTATAACTCTACCCGATCTTCCATCTCGTTGAATATCCACATGATACCACTCTCCATCATTGGCTTTCTTCTGGGTGGCTTTGACTTTAATGGTCCCMGAGCCCATGTCCAGCAGCAAGTAGAGGTTTCCATCTAGAAGCTCAACTGCAAAGAAGTCTACCTTAGTATTTTTCTGGCTTCTGGTATCTTTCCTCTCCTGAGGCTTGCCGTGGGTGAATAGGATCAGTCCATTGGGTTCAGTGGTTCGGAAATCAAAGGAGATGGAGCCCATCCTTTTGGTATTCCATTTAGGCAGACTGATATAGGCCTCAGGTGTCTCAAAGCTGATGGGRTCCAGTGTAGCCACATTTTCACATATGAATTTCACTTCCCCATAGATCTTCATCTTCGTATCACCAATCCGTGCCAAGCGAGACAGCTCCAGACGAATGTCGTTATTCTTATAAACAACCTGCCAGACAYAAGGAAAAGTATCATACATCAATCCTGCATACAATACAAATACCCCAATTACTTTCAGCCATGGGAGATAAACTTCTCCCAAAAGGCAGTGGGGAGCAGAAAGGAGACAGTGCAAGAGTCTGACATCATGAGAGAGGGAGTGAGTTGGAGCAGGAGAGTGTTTAGAAATGACAGCAATGGGTGCTTTGCAAGGACTGTAGATCAGATAAGCAGTCAGAAGAGAATATTTTACTGAAGGGCAGCGAGAACAATTAACTCCACCACAGGCTCACTCGGCTGTACATAAAATCCAGTGTGTGTCTGATATCATGCTGTTGTATTTGCATAAATCCCATACAAAATACATAACAAAGGGTAACCTCCACGTCCATCTCCACTAGCCACAGCAGGGAACTYAGTACCACCACTGTCATTTCTTTATTATTTCTATAAACCTACTTAACTACTAGGAGAGAGATGCAAAATAATTTCAGCAAGTTACTGTGAACTGTTAGCGATTGCCCTGTGGTTCCTAAAGAAAAAAAAAAATAATAAAGACTTCAAATTTCTCTGACCAAGAAATCTTAGATCACTGCTGACACAAACTTGCCATGGAGAGACCTCTATAGCTTACCCTTGCTTCAAGAAGCCAACGACCTGTGTGCTAACATATRAAAACCTGTACATTTTCAGTGCTTGGTCTCTCACGTTCTCTGGGTGAAGGACCACAACTCTGGGCTCTGTGTTGCTACATGGATTGAAACCWGCCAAGAGAACAGTCTCAAACAGGCAAGCACTCCTGAGCATGCCTGGCTTACTCAGGAGTCCAGACCTTCTATTCTTCTCTTTTTCTCAGGTACAGAATTAATTCCTGAAAAGCAGGCTCCTCTCTGCCCTGTGCCATTCTCACAGAGGCAGGAACTGGAAAAGGCACAAAACTGAAATATTTGTAAACCCTACTTCCTCTAACCACCTTCCATGCTTGCTAATGTAGAGCTGGCACATAGAGTAAGCAAAACCACTTCTGCAACTAGCACAATTTTTATTGAATTCTGGTTCAATGGTACTGCTGAAGACTGATTTCTTCTAAGGAGTTATTATTCTAAAAAACATTGTGTCTGTCACATATAGAATATAGGTAGACACATTTCAGTTTTGCTTTCAAAAACCTATCAGGATGAGTTATCAAAAATTGGTTATGAAAATAGAAGGGAAAGGAGATATGCACTGTTCCTTCTACAATTAGGACATGAAAGTCAGAGAAATGACAGTGGACACAGTATATATTAAAAGGCAAACGAGGCAGAGAATGAGGGACAAATTAGGTGACTTCAGGATGAAAAAAAATAAATTATACTGAATTCTACACATTCATAGCTAGAAAAGAATTTCCAGCTTTCATTAAGCATTAAAGGAAAATTTCCCCAATGTAGTCAGCACTGCTCAGATTTTCCTGTTGCAAAGGCAACACACAGAGTGAAAGGAGAAGCCAGCTGTTAAATCCCATTTGGAGAAATGGCATAAGGCTCCAGTTCTTCTCCTCCCAGCAGATGACAGTATTGACCCACAGGAACTTGTTTTGCTCCATTTCCCAATAAAGTGCTCTGCCCTCACACAGGCACCAGAAACATCAAGTCTATTAATATCTGCGACAGGGATAAAACACATTTTCAATTTATAGGACTGTAGTAGTTTTATTCTACAGATTAATCATGTCAAATGCTCTCATTAGAGAGACCATACACCTCCTTCCACCAACACAGCAAGAGGGTGCATTAGAGCCTCTTTCCTTACCCGACAATGAGGTGTACCTCAGTCAGACTTTAGTCCTGAGCACTGCATGAAGTCCTGTCTCTGCTTCTCAAGGAGAAAGAGGAAAATAAATAGAACAACTACGAGGATGGAACAGGATGCTTTATGAGGATAGCCTGAAAAGGCCAAGTTCACATTTGGAGAGGACTGAGAAAAATATGATTGAAGTTTACAGAAGATAGAGAAGGTTAATGTAGAAATGCTCTTTGCCAAACCCAGCAATAACAGAGTTAGAGGCACTTGCTAAAACTTGAATGAAATCAGCATAAAATGGATTTTTAGAAGTACTTATTTACACAGAGGGTAGTGAACTTCTGGAATGTGCTGCCAAGGGAGGTCAAGAAATTAGGATGCAACAGAAGATGCAAAAAGAACCAGAAAGAAAAATGGACAGCAAGTCCACAAACTGATACTAAAGGAAAAAGGAAGGAGTGTGCCTTGTAAGCAATTGCAAATCAACAGCAGTGGGTGCTGCAGCAATGCAAGGGAATGCACCATGATAGCAGCCATGCTCACATGTTCTCCCTAAACAGCATTGCACTATCAGAAACACCATATTGGCTGCATGGACTGACCATTCTTCAGGCCCACAAGGGCTTACAACTTTGGTGCAACACTGCCTTTTTGGTTTCACCCCAGTGTGGAGTTGCTTTGGTGGACAAGAGAATGTCAGGCCTGGATGAGCTGCAGCTTTAATGATCCTGAGGTAGGAGCATTGCCCTCAGAGGGTAACACCAAACGTTGCTCAAACCAAAGCTCCTCTGAAYTCTGTCTTCAGGCAGTCTTTCCACACATGAGAGGAGCAGACAGGCAGCACTGCACCCCACATCTGATCAATGGTGGTGCTGGATTTAGCCATGACTCAGGGATCTGTTTTCAGCAGTCTCTGCAGCTGCTGGTAGAGGCAATATCACACACACAGCTGAGCCACATCCAGCTTACATCTCCCTCTTTGACGTATTTGACACTTGAGTAACAGGTCCCATCTTTTCTGGGGAGACACAGAGGGTCTGCCTCTGGGTTYATTTGAGGTTTGATGCTGAATGCTTTGTATTTCATTAGTCATACAAGTAACACAGCTAGAGAACCCTTGAGACAGAAGGCTTTCAAAAGAACTAGAAAAAATTATATAAAGTTAGTTGTAATCAAGRAAGTTATTAAAAATGAAGAATGAGGACAAGATTGAAAAAACAGACCAAGAAAGCAAGCACAAAGGATGACCTGGGGAACAGAGAAGAGTATTGAATAGATACGAGAGTTCTGAATTCAATCTTTTCAAAGAAACATATCCACCCCAATCTGAATCTGTTATTCAAGTGTTGTTCTAAATTATTTTATTTTAAAAAATCCCCAAAATACCTAGCTTGAGAAATCTAAAAAGCACCTATGTTTATAGAAAAAGTGCAAGTGTTTCCACAGCTGACTTGAGGTATTATTGGCAGACACACTGGACATCAACATCTTGATGTACCATCAAGTACACCAGAACTCTCACCATAATAAAAGAAAAGGATAGAAATAATCCTTGGATGTAAAACCAATGTGAATTCTTGGCAGGAACAGAGAAATGCTAAGGCAGCTTCTGATAATGACAGTTCAATTGTTAAACCAAAGGTWCAAGATTGAGAAGAGGGAATATAATTAAATGACTGAAATGCAAGTCCCATAGTGGAGAGCATTCAAATTCAGTCTGTTTAATAGGTAGAGRTTAAAATGTGATTCGATAGCAATCTATGAGTACCTGTGCAGAAAATGGATTTTGGCAATAGAGGGCTCTTCAATGCATGTGACAAAGGGACAATGAGATCTGGGGGCTAGAAATTGAAGTTTGAGAAATTCACATTTTAAAATATTATGACTTATTTTTACATGAGGGTAATTTGCAACTGAAATAATTTACTACAGGTTATGGTGTGTTCTCTGCTACTGGCAAATTTTAAATTAAAATAGTATCCTGCTTTCTCCAAAAGACATAGTGAGACAGGAATTAATTATACAGCAAATCAGCCCAGATTATCATAATGGCTCTTTCTAGCCTTATAACCTATGAATCTTTGTGTTTTAATGAAATCAACAGATGCTTCAGTGCAGTTTCCAGGACAGAAGAAACACATCCTTCCCAACTGCTAAAACTGCCCGGTAAAGGAGAAGATGCTACTGTCAATTCTGCATTACTTGTGATCAGTGCTTTCAGTGAAGCTTTTTATATTTTTATGTTTGTGATCCTACCTTAAAACATACCACTAAAAAAGAAGGCAAGCAAAAAGTCTTGTACAAAAAAACCTGATCATATAATTCAAATATATGCTTCAAGAAATATATATATATAATATATAAGCTTCAAAAAAATRTTTCTTAGAGTCCCTTGCAAGCCAAAGAAGAAACTTTTTCCTGTTTTGCTGAGAAAGCTTTCTGCCAGCAGTAGAAYCTACCATCTGCACAGCACTTCCTACCTCGTAGTCTCATTTTACAAGAAACCTCTGAACTGACTCAAAGGCCCTTCAGTATATGCCAAAACACCAATTGAAACCCACACCTCTAAACTCAAATGAGGCCATGACTGTCTCAGAATGTTCCTCACCAGGACAGTCCTCCAGTGCCACACATGGCTTCCACAGCAACTGAGAGGTAAGCAAAGCAATGAAAGCAGTGCCCGTACACGTGTCCATTGAAGGCAGGTCTGAACAATGCCAATGTCACCWGTTTAAACAGAGACAAGCTTGAGCTCATCCCAGGTCTGGTATGTATATCAGAGAAGGTCTAAGGGAGTCAAGGACATGATTCCTGATACAGACAGACATATCTCCTTTATTTTGGGAAAGAATGTGGAAAAAAGGTCTTAAATTATTTGCAAAAGCTATACACAGAGCTTTTGAAAAGTAACCTCCATTTCTCCAATCTTAAAATAATTTATATTGCAAAAATGAAAAACGAATAATGAAAATAATTGTTTTTTCCTTTTCTATGAGGACTGTTTCTAAATACACTTGAACAAAGAAATACTGACAGTTTTTTTTTTGTTTTTTTTTTTTTTGTTTGTTTGTTTAATGAATTAGACCAGTATAAATGGATGGTCAGGAAGGGGATAGTCCACATACACATGGTCCTGATAACTAGCAGTAGAATTTCATGACATCTAAAACATTCTGAGTGGAAAAAATATATACATTAAATCATGTTTCCTATAAATCTGCTGAG